TTCTTCCTCTTCTTTCCCTTGGGAACTAAGGCGGTGAAAACTGAAGCCATTTTCTCATTTTCTTTCTGAGTCTGTGTGTCTCTGAAGCCAATCCAGCACTAAGCAAACTTTCCCTTCTTGATGGTTGCAGAAATAAAAAAGTAATAATTAAAAAATCCCAAAGCGCGACGTAAGCCCTTTCGATGCCACTATTCTTAGCTTTAACTGGGACTGGATGATTTTTGGTAAGTCTCAAAATCATTTCCATTTGCACTAGGACTTTGAAAAAAGTAATTTTTTTCCTGGATAATATATATGTGCACATACATCATTGTATTTACAACCAAACAAATCATCCTCACTTAAAATCTCCCCCAAATGGACTTGCTGTGATCTGAAAGGAAGATGGAGAAGAGCAGGATAGGGTGGAGGATGGCTGTTTTCACTCTCTCAGGACGCTGAAAGCAGATCTGGTGTGGACTTGCCAGTGGGGAGGAAAACTTAAAGAGGCCGCATGGCCCCCCCCTCACACCAGTACTATACCACTTATACCACTCACACCAGTGTGGCCTGCTGCTCTGGATCACGTGGCACAGGATTGCCTGCACAGCTGCTAAGGTTCCTGCCTTGTTCAGATCAGGACATGGCATATCACTTTTGACTGAGAAATAAAATAATTTCTCTAACCCTTTCCATGTGAGATGAGTTGAGATGCCTGCAGTTCATCATAAATTCGCTGCTCATTGACCTGATACAGACATTATTTTCAGGTGTAGGTAAAAATCTCTTCAGCATTTCTATATCCTACATCATCCTAAATATCTCAAAATTTGATGGTTGTAACCTTGCAACACAGCTTTTGAACAGCTGTGCTACTAGCCTCAGATAACACATAAGGGACAGAGTCACAAGGAAAGGTCTGGATTGAGAGCCAGTTCACATCCTACCTGGTCCCCATGACGAGCACTGGCTAGATACATTGAAGGCCTGAGGCCCACCATAAAGAAACACAAAACACAGGACATACGGGAGATTTTGTGAGTTAAATTCATCCTAAATTATTTCCTCTAGGTCACACAACAGACCCTGTAGCAGATCCAACCAAAGTGCTAGTCTCCCAAGTCCCGTGCCAAGTTCAGTGGGCCTTATTTGAAAAGATAGATTCACAAGAGTTTCACATGCCCAACCCAGCTCATCTACACCCCTTAAGTTTCAATTTAGGGCTGCTTGCATGGCTAGATGTTTGCACTGACATGGATTCATCCCTATGCTCTTGCCTACACGTGCTTCTCAGTTTTCTCCCTCCCTCTGCTGAGATCTCTTACCTCTGCCTGGAAGCCTTCTACCAGAATGGCAACAAGAAGGTTGAAGAGCACGTAGTTGCCGAAGGTCATCAGGGCCACAAAGTAGAGTGCTGCCCATGAGGATGTAGATGCCATCCCATTGTACAGGACCACGTTCCAGTCCTCTTGAGTGAGGATCTGCAGAGAGGCGAAGGGGAAGACTCTCTAATTACTCCACTCCTCTCATGCACAGGAGCTGCATTCAAATAACTGACTCATCTCTTTCTTCCTCTCCTTTTGACCTTTTCTGAACATAATCATTAGCAGGTCTCATGAGATGAGACAGCAAAACATTCCTTTATTTAGATCTTTGCATGTGAGATCCTGGCCAAACCTCCCCTTTCTGCAGGAAGATCTAGCACTCCGCTGCCCATAGAGATGACTAGTTCAGATCCTAGATAGGGTAACATGGAGGATGCGCTGGTATGAGTCCCATTATTTGGTGGCAGTATTGCCTCCTTTGATAACCATCAGAAGATAACAGACCTGAGGCCAGAGCTGTTGTCTCCTTTTGGGCTGCTCTTTATAAAGCATCTGGAGCTGAAGGAAAGGGTAGGGGACATGATATTTGACGAGATAAATGAGATTAGGTGGCTCAAGAAACTCAGGGAAGCAAAGTGATTTCCATTAGGTAAAAGCACTGACAAACTGGGCAAAAAAATACACATCTTCGTAGAGCTTTGCTCCAAGGGACCTTCCCCAGAGATTTCCACTCTCCTAGCTTTCCTGGGGCTCAAAAATCCTGGGGCCTAAGAAAAATGGATGACAGATTCATGCTGCACATTAATTCATGCTTACAATGAAAACAGCCTCTAACCCTCCTAAAAACAAGGTAGCTTTGGGGATAGGAATGCAGTCAGCTGCAGTGAGTCATGCCACTCATGAACCTTCATGGGATGTAGGACTAAGCCCTTGTGCTCTGTGCCAACTCTATTTCCCAAGGGACTGTTAGAATAGACGCAGAAATCTGTATTTATGTTGGTAAAAGAAAAATGTGAACCAGTGAGACTAATGCTGATTTGTCCTTGCTCCTTTTTAAGAAGGAAAACTTTGCAAGAAGTTATATTCTTCACAGTGCAGACCCTGGACTGGTTTCTACCTTGAACGATACTGTGGTGAACACCTACTCTGCATTTAGAAACTTAGCTTAACATTGTTTACATTGTGCTCCACTTGCTGCACTTGGGCTCTGAAGACTGAGCTTTTAAACAGAAAAGACTAATCTTTATATTTAGAATGTCCTGGAAATAGCAGCTTACTGCTCCATTGTGGAATATGCCAGTAATTTCAAGCACATAACAGATCTTGTCTGCAGAGGAAACAACTTTTTATATAAAGAATTCCCAGCATATAAAGCCAGCAACTCCAGCTCTGATTTGTGACAGGATTTATCACTCCCAGTTAAACGAAATTGTTTGCAACGTACATTTTTGGGGCAGTGAAGGCAAGTAAGGAGACAGAGATCTACAGAATAAGAGCAGAATGGACAGTAGACTGTGGGTCTTGATCTTACTGACTATATGAAAGGAAAATAAAGGTGGATTTCCAGGCCTTCTTCCACTTTACTTTTACTGACAACAGATAGCACAGTGATGATTCTGAGTAGATTGCTTCTCTATCAGGGCTTATAGAGACCAGCTAACTCAGAAATAGAATCACTTTGCCCTAATAACTCTACAGTGCCGTTTCAGTCCAAATTTGACACCTACTAGAATAGTATTTTTTTTTAAGTGAAATAACTTGTCCAGGTGGTCTACATTAAAACGTCCCAGAGGATCCAGAACTTACCTGAAATACAGTCACAATGGCCCAAAGTAAGGAATCAAAATTCTTTCTATCTGGAACTGTGTCTCCTGTATCAGTTTTCAGGCTGAACTTGCATCCAAAAAGATGCATGCCAAGAATGCTAGAATGGGAAAAAAGGGATATGGAAGAAACACATTATTGTGTGAAATATAGTTGCAGGGAAGATTGCAGTGATTTTTTGGACACTTTTCCCCCCTCAGTGTTTTGTGTGCCAGTGGTATCTCCGAAGAAGAAGGTCTCTGCTCCACCACTGACATGATCACTGATCAAACCCTGTCATTTAGTTCTTCTGTGTCACATTTCATTACAATTGACTACACTGAAGTGAAATCAGGGATCTCCTTTGTCTAGAAAATGACAAACCATATTGCCAGCTCCCTAATCCAACTGGTTTCCAAGAGCAGGATCCTGAGGAGCATTATAAGGTCAGACAGACAGAAGTCTTGGAGTTTGTACAGCCTCCATCTCAAATACAACACTGGTAGAGTCCAGTTACTGACAGCTTCCTGAGACACAGTTAAACGAGCCTCCCAGGAACTCCAAAGCAATTGTTGCCTGTTTGTGTACTTCATTCATCTACAGAATTACAGTACTGCATGAAAAACTGAGACCGAAAAGAGGTAAATAGTCTGTTGAGTGTCTGCTTATCAGTCTATTGTGAGCACTTCTATCATGTAGGCAACCTAGCAAATGCAGTGTATCGTTATTCTAATCTACATATTACTTAAGCAAGCTGAACAATTAATCGAAGAAGAGGTGCAGCCTCTGGTACCTGAAGATAAAGATGAAGAGCATGAGCAACATGCAGAAGGTGGCTACGTTGTCCATTGTCTTCATCAGGACCACCAGCTGGCGACGGAGGGCAGGCATGAAACGCACCAGTTTCAGCACCCGGAGCAGCCGAAAAGTTCGTAGCACAGAGAGGCCTCCGTCCGACTGGCCGATGATCTCCCAGACGCTGCAGGAACACCAGAAGAACAACTATAAACAGCAGTACTGTACTGTGAAAGCCTTGAGCATGCTGGTTTCTTACAGGATATCACACCATTCAAGCCCTAAAGGGGTAGTTTATTTGCCTGCTACTTTCTTGCTTCTGAAAAACACCTTCACTTCCCAATTGTGCAGACACACATGCTCATGCACAACCTATATCCTTTATAGCTGGTTTCTTGATTCTTTAATTCCCTTGCTTCCTGTGTCTCTTCACAACACAGCATGTCTCCTGCTAATCTGCATCACTACAATCAGTCACAAGCTTAGCCACAAAATGTGGATCACAATTTTTTACCCAGCTAATATCCAGAGGGATTTACATTTGTTGGGGAGGGTTGGTTTGATCTGCCCACAGACTGGCCTTTGTTGTGGGCCTCTATTGCTCCTCACTTCTCTGAATCAAACGGACAGGCCATCTGAAGCCAAGAGCACTATCCTGGTTTACACCTTCTGTGTGCTCCTTGACTCCTCTGCCCTAAATTACTGACCGAGGGCTGAATAGCACTGCTAGAAAGAATCCCAGCACAGATTAGGCTGGGATAGCATTCCCTTGGGAGAGGACAGCAGAACAGTGCCCTCTCTTACCCTCCTGCTTGCCCTATTCTGGCCTGAGTTATGTGTTAATTTGGGAGAGGAAGGGCATGTTGCTGGGATATGGACACTCACAGTACTCCTTTCCCAGGACCAGCCATTCTGCACTTCAGTGGAAAATTGACCACAGTGCCAGATGTGTGGCGTAAATAGACTTCGTTCTCCATCTGCGAGGTCCATTTACTTTGGACAGCCCTTCTAATGACAGGAATCTAAAAGGCCAGCATAATTATAGCACATCACAGCCAGTGAGCCCTGGATTAACACATGCCGTGTCATTCCTGTTCCCCATCCCACTCCCCAACTGGTCTGAGCCCTCAGCAGAAAAGTCACAGTGGAGAAAGAATTGGCAGTGACCTGATGACAACTATGATCCCGTCAAAGATGTTGTACGGGTTCTTGATGTAGCCAAAGATCCCAAAGGCAAGGAGTTTCAGGAGCATCTCCAGGGCAAACATGCTTGTGAAGACGATGTTACTGATCTCCAAAGCGTTGGTCAACTCATCTGGCTATGGGACAAAAAAGCAACATGGTCAAACAGATGCATAGAGGAAATGCCTAAAGGCTGGTATGCTCCTCCTGCTCTGGGATTTGTGCTAATGATGCACAAATAGTACATCTTCCCATGTTCCTTCTGGAGAGCCACGGAGGTAGGTAAGTGTCTGAGGGGAATAGCAGACAAGCCTCATGGACAGTCCCTGTGAGTCTTACTGGAAACACAGTCCCAGCCCATTTCTGGAGCAGCTGCAGAATGACTGTGCCCAATACACGGGCCCAAAATACTAAAGCTATGCACAGGAGAGGGCTTGTTCACTGTTGCAAGGTATAGTTACCCAGGTGAATGGCTAGTATGACTTCTAAGGCTTTTATTTGGACTTGCATTGGTCAGCCTGCTTTTACTGCACTAACCCCAGCAGAGCTTTAGGGATACTGCTATATCCAAAGCAGGACCACTGTCAATACAGCATAGCTCTAATCATATACAAACAAAGCACTTCTCTTGCAGACATCTCTTAAGAGAATTAGGAAAACAAATACCAGTGAAAGTCAGTAGGATCAATAGTTTTATTTCCCTTTGGAAATTGTCCCCAAAAAAACTCAAGATGATTTTTCCTTCTGAAGTCTTGATTAGTAACGTACAGCAGATTTTGTTAAAATGACAGCAGTATGTCCCTGAGTGTCAGGATTCCCTCCAGGATCAGTGTGGGTTTCTCTGAGTGTACAAGACTGCATGCAGCTTGAATCTAAGAACTGATTTTTCTATTCCCCTCCTCTATCACCAGCACCAAATTACCTTGGGCTACAATCTTGCTTTTCAGCCAGAGCCTTAGATGTTCCTTTCTTGGGAAGCGCAGCAATGTCTGCCCAGCACCCAGGCTCCAAAACGTGGCACAGCAGGGACAGATGCAAAAGGTGGGATGGGGTTTGCTCACTTACTGGAGTTACTCCCTCAAACAGCACCAGGCTGTGCAATGCGCATTTCTAATGCTCAAGGCCTGTTTCTTTGCAAAAGAAAATGAGCCTTTTTCATTTCCTCAGTGTAATAATATTGCCTAGAAAAAGGTGTTATTTTCATATCTGACTCATCTCCTGACTGATAATAGCTTCCTTTATTCCCCGTCCGTCATTAGACACTATGTTAAAAGTTGGCAGTTTCTTGGGGGTGTTGTTGCATTATTTGAGGCTCCGAAGGGAGAAGACCATTGTAATACTGTGGCACAGCCACATTTAACTCCACACTCTGCAAACCGAATCCTTGGCAATTGAAGGAGAAGGTGAAAGAGTTAACTCAAATGCAGGAAGAGCCCACACTACTATAGGCAGCGACAGCCTGTGGGCTGCTAATGAACCATCATTCATAGGCTAAATTACTTGATGCAATAGACTGTCTTTTGCTCAGCCATTTATCCAGGAGAAAGAGCTCTAAGAGCCTCAATCCTCATGATTATAATCCATATACACTAATTACTAAGGGACACCAGGGGAAGGACTGTGCAATTTTCAGTTCTTTAGCCTCTAGCAAGGGGTGGCCTAGACGGCTGCACAGTGCAGCTGAACAGCACGATCACCGAGCTGCCCTCCTCACACCTCTCGTGCTGCAGGAACAGCGATTCCCTGCCTAACACCAATCAGTGCTCGTCTGTGCTACTCCCTTCCCTGACGATGCCAAAACAACCTGCGCAGAGGTCTTCCCCTTGCAATGAAATCACAGCTGAAGGAAAAGGCTGCTCTAGGATGGCATCTAACCAGCTCCCCAACAGAGACTGAGCCTGAAATAGCCCTGTAGGCTCCCAGGCGCCTGTCCCGCTGTAAGCCACAGCGGTGACGGGATACCACGCTCACAGTTTCCTCCAGCTATTTGTCATGAGCAGCGTGTGGCTGGCATGTTTGGTCTCCCCTCAGCTGGGGTTGTACAAGGGCATTCTTAACAAGAAGCAAAATAACTTGCTAAATTCTTGTGTCCCTCCGGACAGCAGACTGAGGGCTCCTTGGGACAGGGTGTTCATGGCAGGCCGAGGATGGCTCGTTAGCGTGTTGAGGCTGGGAAATCAATGACACAATCATCAGCAAGGAAGCTCTTGGGAAGCTCTGAAAGGACAGAGTTGTTCTGTAGGCCTTTCTGCTGGGAAACACAGAGAACCTGCCCATTGCGAGCTACAGTACCTTGTCCTCTGCAATACAGCAGCAGTCTCATCTGCTAAAGTAAAACTTAATTCAGAGTTCTCAAACTTCACCTTGCTGCTGCCAGGTGTGCTGCCAAGAGTCACAATTTTATCATGAAAATTGAGATAGCTGGTGATCATTTCAAAATCCCTAATCCTGCAGTTATGCGAATATGACAAGACAATCTCAGGAGTCGTTACCAAAAAAGTCAGTGTCCAGCCTGAAAAGCCTAAGCTGAACAAACTTAAAAACACCCACAAGCAAATAAAAAGATTTTGTAAGTTGTTATTCTCTAAAATCCTATGTTTTCTAAGCAAACCCGAAGATTTTTCTGTGGCCTGTTGAACACGTGGCATTGCAACCAGTTAATCTGCTGATATTGCTTGAATTGATTTGCCAGTTTCCTTCAACAATTGGGTGTCCTTATTGCTTACTCTCCAGCGCCGCAAACTTTTGCTTCATATACCAGTTGAGAGAGTGCAGGAGAAAAGCTGCAGCCATCTCTCAGGGGAGGGGAGAGAGGGCACGAGGAAGAGGGAAAGGGGAGGACAAGGAGGTGGCCCAGATGAGATCATCAATAGCTGTGATGAGGAGCTGATCCAGCAGATCAAGATGATGGGGGGTCGCCTGGGCAAGGTTGATGGACAGCAGGCTGACACTACAAAGCCAATCGTGCTTCAGAGATCTTCATTATTCTTTAGTGATCATATTTGGTGTGAGGCACAACCAACTCGATGACAAGGACTGCTGTAACGTGAGACGTTTGGAGTGCAATCCTGCAGTGACATGGAGGCAGGACCCACTGGGCAAAGACAAGGATGGATAGCCCTGCATGCTGGCTAAGATGCTGATGTGAGCTTTTGTATTATTAGAGTGGAAGCCGAACAGCAGATGAGCCAAGCATCCAGTGATACAGCCTTCAAACGTAATTACCTTCTTTCAACACCAACTGGAGCCTAGAAAACAGCCTGCCATAGATATTTTTATGGCTTATGAAATGGTTTGTTGCTTAGAGCACAATTCATTTCCCACTTCTCTCACTCCCTGATGAGCAAAGATCTAAGAGGAGGGTCAAGGAAGAGACACTTGAACGCCAGGACGGATTTGGCCATTCCCCTGGAGTCAGCCACTAGGAGACACTGTTGTTTTGTTCAAATTTAAGCCAGCCCCAAAGCAGGATTTTTTCCAGGAGCCTTTTTCTCTGGGAAAAACAAAATGTTGATTTGCTGAAAACAAAACTTTTCATGGCAAGGATTATTTTTGTCAGACTTCCTGGCTGGAAGAAAATGAAGTTGCAACAAAGCTTAAAAATCGCTGCAATGTCTTCTTTTGACCTTCTCAGAAAAGGAAATTTCAGGCTTTTTGCTTGGGACATGGTTGTCACGAAATGCAACTTCCTTTCTAGCAAGGAATGGTTAACAAACAAAGGTTGACATCAAAATGATGCACTTCCAAGAGAGTAGTTCTAAAGTGGTATTTTTCGCTTTTTGCCAAATATTTTGTAAACCTTAACAACTTTGGCAGGGGAAACTACTTGCCCACCATAGGCTCTGAACTGCATCAGTGAAAACTTCCTTTTTCAGGGAGAGACCGTGACCCCTTATCAGCTTTGGATATTTCCACATCTTTTGCTGCTGTGACGATTCACCTTTACATTGGTTCAGGTTTTCAGAGATAGGACAGGCCAAATGGCAACGAGGTGGCATTGCATGAGGCTACAGAACGCTCAGGAATCCCCACAATGGATGCAATGCGGGAGATGGTGGGCAATGCCATCGTGCTGGTAAGAGCATCCACAGTGCCAGATGTGGAGGCTGGAATGGGAACTGCCATGCTGGAAACAGCAAAAACGAGCACAGAGAGTGGTTTAACCCACAAGTCCCACTGTCAGGTCCCAGGCAATGTTCAAAAAAGGTTCAGATCTGAGTACAAATTTTATAGATTTCAGATTCAGATGAATCCTCATACTTTGGCTGCAGGAATAAGTTTCCCACCATTCAAGAGAAGGGCAGAAACTGTATGGGATCAGTTTGTAAGGTTTCAGCATCCTTGAATATGAGTTTAAAGTAACAGTTAGCCTTGACTCCAGGCAAAACATGTCCCAGGAAAGCACAACCACCTCTGCTCACTTTGAAGGCCATATTTATGCTGCAGAATATTTCAGTGAATCAAAACCACGTTTTTATTAGGGACAAACCTCAAACGTTTCAGCAGTTCATTCTGAGTTCAGATAAACAGACAAAAATTCCTTTTCTAAATAGTTTGGGTCTGAAAACCTTGGAAGACTAGTTTCTTTCTGAGAATCTGATACCTCTGGTTTTAGCAAGATGTAGCACAACCCCAGAGCCTTCCTGGAATTCAATGAAAGAGAAACCCATAATGGTCAAATTACTGATGGCTCCTACAAGCAGAGGATGAAGAACAGGAAGAGGACTTTGCAGCCTTAGATTCTCTTTGTGCAACTGAATTACTGCAGTTCTTCAAGGAAGTCACTATCTCTTTGTGCCTCTCTTTTCCCTCTTGCCCGTTGTCTACCTTGTCTCTTTTCTCTTGTCTGCATCCACAACCACCTATTTTACATAGCTTATGTTCAATCACCAGCAGGATGGCAGCATTGCCTTGGCTGGGGTACCTTTTTGCTCTGATACTGAGTAGAAATAGTCATACCTGCATCACACTGGAGAAAAGGGCTGTTAGACACCTGGTGCCTTTGGCTGAATGAACAGGGAAGGAAGTTTCCAGAGTAAAAGATGTGCTTTGCTTCAGAAATCCCCCCCAAGCCCAAAGCAGCCGTTCAACTCCTCCTGAACACGGAGAGCTGAGGCTGGCAGAGACGCAGAGGACT